TAAAACTTTCGAACCCCCTCTACCCTCCACTCCACACACCTTGAAGTTATTTGTTAGGCATTTTAAGTTTTCAGCATTTTATTACTACATTAACTTCTGCAAGGAAGCTTTAACATGGAAATTTTGACCACTTTTTAAAACTACAGTAGCTACTGAATTTTGTACTTCCTCTAGGTATTTTGCAGTTGATATAAAGGTGTTGAATCAGAGAGATCAAGTAGACTAAGTTTTGTTCTCAGAATCTAGATATACATCAAGCACATTTAGAGCACTGATACAAGTTTAGCTCTGGGCTGCCTTTACCGAGGGTTAAAATGTTAGTATTGAAAATGAGATTTTACAATTCTGGCTGATTTTTATTCTTCAGTTTCCTGACATTCCACACAGCATATTCCACTGGCACCACATGATAGTCTAATTACTTAGCACTGAGGCAATGGTAACAGATTATTTTAAGTGAGTTCAATTTGATTCACACTCTTCAAAAGATTTTAGTACCTGCCTTAGAACAATTAAATCCTCGAATGCTTTTGGAGAAAGGCTGACAAGATTACTGGGATTTGGCATTTTGTAATAGAATATTCATACGAGGGTAGGCCGAAACAGACTTCTGATTTTCAAAAGCATAGTACTTACCAACGCTTTATGAGCAATATTTAGAAGATGTGAGAACTTGTTGGCGGAGTATGTATAATTTTTAATTTGCCAGTATATTTCAAAACACTGCAGATGTCTGACTCACTTATGCAAAATTTTTATTTGATATAGACTGAAATTTTTCCACCAGTGCCTTACTCATATACTAAATCATTCTCAAGATGAGATTTTTATCTGATCAACCCAAGTTGCTGGCTGGAAAAAAATAAGACAAGTTCTGGTTTCGGCCAAGAGCTTGATTTTCATTTCTGAAGGAGACTCCCTAATTTTCCTTTGTTTGTAAATGCAGGCTGGTCATTGTTTCAGGAAACCTACTTAGTTCCATTTATTTTTAATCAAACTAGCTTTGCCACACTTGTCATTTTGCTCAAATCACAAATTTCTATAAAAAAAAAGACATTATCAAAATTCTGTAATGCCGTGGCATAACAGAGAGTACCTCAGCTTGAAAAAAATTTTAAACTGAAATCTCTTTACAAGTTGAAGTTCTTACAAGAATTTCCTCATTGAGAAAGACTAAATGATTTCTAAAAACACTGACAGCTTTATCATATGAATTAACATTCTATAAATATTAAAATTATTAGGTAAAAGTAGGGAAATTTTTAAAATTATTCTAAAAACAGCATTGTCTTAACTTCCTTTATATTATTCACTGACTTGTGTAGTGAAATACACAACCAACACTTGTATATTTCCTCATTACTTTTTGTCCTTTTAAAAATTTCTAATCCCCTCAGACCCCTTACCCCACACACTTTTAAGTAATTTGTTAGGCATTTTAAATTTTCGGAAAACATTTTAGTAGTACATCAGCTTCAGCACTATTTTTATGGAGGCTAAGGTAATTTGCACCATGTAATCGCAGTCTCAAAAAGGCAGTCTCCAAACAGACTTATGTAAGAAGAGTGTGCATACCAACTTTAGATAAAATAAAAATTAAATTTTTCTTTAACAGCTTTACTTCCAAATAACTAAACCTAATCAATATTAAGAATTTTTATGAATTATTTCCTTAATAAATTTATGAGACCATTAATTTTTTCACAGATTATATTTGGCTTGTCTAACTCTTAAAGTTTCTTAACTTATGTTTTCTTCCTCTCAATTAACTGAAAAAACAAGTTATGTGTCTTATGTTTCTCACTGTCTTGATTTTTTTCTGACTGACTGCCTTCATTTGATGCCATTGAATAAGATTCTGTCTCTGTATTGCCTGAAATCTAGTAGTTAAGTATAAAAGCTTTGTTTCCTTTCTTGTCTTTATCTTCCATTTCATTTGTATAAAATATAAAGAACAAATATAATCTATGTCAACACAACCAAAGAATTTTCTAAAATATGGATTACATTTTTATTTAAGCTAATTTTTATATTGACACCTATCTGTTTATATAATAGCTTTATCTTGGTGGGAGCTGCTGGCCCCAGATAGTATTTGCAAAATCTAATCTGCTAACATTTTTATGCAAAATTATCAATATTCAAACATATTCTCACTTATTAAGTACTATTGTGTAGGAAGCAGGTTTTGCATTCACATGGTTCCCCTTTTCACCACAAAACTTGATGGGAGAAATTGTGAATTTGTTCCTATTGCATACCTCATAATATACAAGAACCAATTTCTTTTATATTTTATATGAGTACACTTTCATGATAAACAGTGCATTTACTGTGAGGAGTTAGTACATATACGTACTTTTTAGTTTCCTGACCCCTTCCATCTCCTCTCCCTTCATCTCTAGATCTTCTTCCCATCTGCAAAAATCCCTTTTCATCATAAGCCATGACTTATAAATACTTTGTGCAACTATCTCGGAAAGTTACTATGCTTTAGTATAGAGAATAATGGACTTTTTAAATGTCTCCTTAAGTACTTAGATTTGCTTAAAAGTGTCCTAGAATTGCTTAGTATAGTCTTTTGACTTAACGTTGCTGAGAAGACTGACAAAACCCAAAGTAACAGATGTACATCTTTCTTAAACCACTACTCCTAAATCTTCTTTTCTTTATTGATATAATGGAGGAGAATTAATTTTAAAAGGTGGTGACTATTGATTACTTAATGGGAGATGATAGTGTCAAAAAATGCTGAAGTGAGTCTCATCTGTGCCCTCCTTTGCAGTACAACCCATTATCCAGTAGTGGAGATCACTTTGTAGTTCTTATTAAAATTTAATAATCAGGAGGCAGGCTGGGTGTAGGCTACAGAATTGCCAAAGGGATGGGCTCTAATAGGCTGTAAGACTCTTTTAAGTATATGGCAGAGTAATAGATTTCCTGTGTGCAGAATGTTTATAAGAAGGACAACAAGACCTCATTTCCCTTCTGTGATCTCTTAGCAATGATGACTTGATGAAAACACCTAGAAGGGAAATTGATGTAATTAATGCCCTAAGAAGTCCCTCTAGGCTAGTAAGCTCTACAGGAGAAGAACAGGCATTTCCCAGTGTGGGGCTCAATTTCAGTCCTTCTCCTTGCCTCTCTGCACAAGCAAGAGGTGATGACGGGCTTGTTCAGCAAGGGTAGCAAGTCCGCTAATGGTGTTAATTGTGTCTACCACAGTCCTCATCTGTCACGTGATGATCTGCAGCACAGTGTCTGTCCGGCTAAGCCCTTGTCACATGTAGGAGCATGCTTAAGGACTAGGACTTGTGAAACCAACTTAACTGAAAGGGGCTGTGATTTCTGAGAGACAATGCTAGTTTCTGCAGTTTGTTGACTTCCATTAATAATTTTCCAAAATTACTTAGGTCATCTTTTCAGTATCATCAGCTTTTTAAAAAGTATGATGAGTTCAAAACGAGCTTAAGTTCTTAGGAGAGGATACAATCATGGGATTTATGAAAGAACCTAAGATCAGATATCCACAATCCCATATAATGCATAAAATTAAATACATTGTGAAGAATTACCAATTGTTGGCTCAAATGCAAAGAATTTTGAAGATGTGTTTAGAGAACCTACCTGGATTATTTATAATTGCCTGTGTAGAATGAGTTCCACAGGAACACAGATTTAGCCTTGTAAGCAAACTGTATTCAACAGAATAATCTCCTATTAACAATATTAAGCTTGTTTTTAAAATCAGTAAATTGTAATTCCATGCTAAAAGTGGTAAAAAATTAGTTTTATTCCCAGGTTTAGGCTGTGTGTTTCTCTTCAATTTATTAACTCTCTATGTGCATTCTCTCTCAGATATCCAGCAGAGAATTGCAAATTACCAAGAATTAGTAATGATAAATGCACTTGTGTTCATTTTTATTCTTTAACAACCTTGATCTTTGTGAGGTACAGTGGGGGATATACTTAGGTACTTGTGTTTTTGTTGTTTGGTTTTTGGTATTTGTTTATTAGTTTATTAATACTACTTGCTAGAAATGAGTTAGTAAAACATACTTTGTACATATTACAAAAACACATCATTCATTCTTATCCATTCATTAAAAGAAGTCCCTAGGAGTCTTTAGGTAGAGTCTATTGGTTCATTGAAAGGAACAGTTAATGTTTAATTGTTTGATCAATCTTGCATACCTATATCTGGTAATCTGAGCAACTAATTTAAAGATAACACTAAGTAGTGCAACAATCATTGCTGATTTCTTGTCATCTTGTTTTGAAATTCTGTATAGTTTTTATGTTGTTTTGTTTTTGTCTTTGTTTTTGTTATTTTATTTTTGTTCCTTTCTCTTTAAAATAATAAAAAATGTCTCAAGAACCCAAATGTATAAAATAAATATTGTAAAATGGGAAGAAAATGCTCAAATGGAAAGGGGAACTAGAGAGGGGGAAGGTGAAAGGAATGAAGGGAAAAGGAAAAAAGATAATAGAAGGAAATATGGAACCAAAGCTTTTGTAAACAAGGAAGAAAAGAGGGGTTGAAGCGAGGGGAGGAGGAAGGGAGAAAAGAAGATTCAAGATATGTCATGTACAAGAACAAATTCCCTGTGAATGAATGTTACCATTATGTATGTCTAAAATGTGCCAATAAAATTAATCTTAAAAAATTAAGAAGGCTTAGGTTGGAATTCAATTTATTATAGTATTTCATTTATTAGAGTATTCAATATATTATAGTATTACTCTTAAAAGAAGTAATGCTATAATAAAAATAATTAAACAGATTTTTCTAAAGGGCTTAATACTATGACATAAAGCATGGAAGATATTTTATCCACTATAAATAAAAATGTTAATAATATTTACACCTTCTATGCCTTTTGATATTGCAGAGGAGAGCTTTTTATAGCCTGTATATGCAACATATAATCTATTTATTATATTTAGGAGTGAGAGTTACAAACCTTAACTGTCTTTACTTTTCCTTCTCAATTTTATAGCGCAGCAGCAGTTTTGGGAATTTTGATCGTTTTCGCAATAATTCATTTTCAAAACCAGATGAGTCAACTGAGGTTAGTGTTTTATTCTATTTTTATGAATGTTACATAAACATAAAATAAAACATCATAAAAGTAATATCAATTTTGCAAAATACAGTAAAGTGAATAAATATGTCTTCATATTACAGCCGTATGTATATTTTTGAATTAACAATTATTTACTTTTTAGTACCATACTGGGCACTAAGGTAAAACCTATCTCAGAAGCCTACCAGATATTTGAGAAGGCAGGATGTAAGTTGACAGAGCTAGCTGCAACTCAAAGTGACACTACAATTTCAAAGTTCCTCAGTATTAACATAAATAAACATCATATATGTATGTTGTCTATGCACATATAATTATATAGTGTATAACTGATTTAAATTAAGAAATGATCAAGTGACTTGACTGTAAATTTTTTAAGATGAGCACATGGCTACTCAAATGTACTCTTACATTCCTGTTACATGCATGTTATACCTCATTAGTGCCTGTTACATACACATCTGCAAATTGTACACAAGTTAGATGTAGATTAAGAAATCCTTTCCATAAATCTAAATTTGCACAATGATATAATACCTATATTTAATTGAGCAATTACCATGAAGTAAGAGTAATGCTAACATTTTATTTTCCGGTAACATAGGAACTATTAGTATTTCTATTTCACTGTTGAAGAAATAATGATTGCTATATTGAATAAAATTAGTTTTACATAAGAGTTACTAAGTGATGAGCCACTTTTCTGAGTCCAAAATTTGCAATTCTGTGATACTATCTCATCAATTAGGCAGCTTGTGACAAGCAATTAATGAAAGGAACAATCAATAAAACAATAGTATGATGTATATTGCAAAAAATTGAAAATACAGTACATGTTTATTATATAACCAGGTTCAGCAACCTCCCAAGTGGTACATATTTTTTGGAAAATAGATTGTAGAATGTAAACTTTATACTTATCTACTTATGCTTGTTTATAGTATTTTAATATTTAAAATTTCAAGAAGGAATATTCTAGACAAAATAAATAGAAATGAAATGTTATTTATTATTACTTCATAAATATCTCCATTTTAACATATATGATTAATGTTTATATATGTCCCCTTTAATTTATATATATATATATATATCTGTTTTATTTGTCTAAGTATTTATAGACCGACAAACTTACAGCTATATGGTGTATTAATATTAACAAAATTATAAATAATGTAATTAATAAAGCTGAAAGAGACAGAGACAGAGACTTCTGTTATTTCCAGACATTTACCTTATTTTGGTGTTCGTTTGTTTGTTTTCTGTACCGGGAATCAATCTCACGACCTTGCGCTTGCCAGGCAAGCACTGTGCCGCTGGGCTAAATCCCTAGCCCCAGTTTTGGATATATTAAATGAAACTTAATATACCCAAGACTGAAATAGTGATCCTCTACTCTCCCACAAGAATACAGTCTTGGATGAGCTTTTAATTCTCCCTAATTATACCTGCTATATTCTACAGTTCCAGAGTAAACCTTCACAATTCCAGAGTAAACCTACAAAAGTAATGCAGGTCTATTCAGGTTTGTTGATAAATTACAGCAGCTAATAATTTGTGAAAGATTATAGATAACCTGATAAAGTAGTTAAGCACATTTTTCAGAAATCCATCATTTATTCTATATCTATTCAAGAAATGTCTAATCTATGGCAATATTTCCATCAGTCACTTAGGAATTATTGCAATTAGAGGAGAAAATGTTTACTTCCTGAATCCTGAAGTCTAGGGTTCAGACACTTCTTAAAGAGGCACCAGAACCTACAAAACCATAAATAAATGTCTAGATGGAAATGTGGTTCAGGCTATCAAGAACAGAACAGGAAAAGATGTTAAAGTTTATAATATAGGAGCATAGCTTTTTAGAAGTTTCTATAAATATTGATAAATAATAAATAAAAATTGTAGTTTCTTTTTGAAACATATAATGGTAAGTAAACATTAGTAAGAAAAAAATAATGAACTTTTACATTTGTTTTAGTAAAATAATTTTTATGGAAGATATAAAATATGCAGCAAGAACAGAGAAGGAAAAGGCTAACTAAATTTTTAAGGCACTTCAAAATTATATTTTATTCAGAGCTTTTGAATTAAGTAAAGAATCTTTGCCTTTATAACCTTGAATGTAGAAATTAATAAAGTGCAATGAGGGCTTAAATTGGCTGTCTATTCATATTTATCATAGGCAATTTAGGGTAAGATATGAAGCAAAACATAATATTGATTAATAATGATGTTAACTATGTGTTTAAACTTTCATATTAAAATATTCAAGTTCACTAAAGAGACATTTCTCATCATTTTTTATATTCAGGGAATAACTGGCTGTACATTTATCTAAATGGGGGGCAGTGCTAGACTACATGACCTTCAAATTTCATTTCCTACAAATTTGAGGTAGTAAGGATGAGTAACCCAAATATGTCCTCCAAGAAAAAATACGCTCAAAAGTTCTACATGAGGACTTTTAATACCTTTATTCAAAAGGTACTGAGCACCAGTTGTGTGCTTGGAAGTATTCTAGACATTCAGAATAAAGAGAACAGTTACAATCTCCGTTATTATGAACCATACAACAAATGGAAGATACAGAAAATAATTGAATGAACAAAGAAATATTATTGAGTACTATTAAGTGCTTAGGAAAAAATAAATCAGGTTAAACAAACAGGATGTTTGGACAAGTGTGAAGAATGATCAATTAGAAAATTGCTGTCTGGCTACATGATATGTGAATAGAAATGAATGATTTAAGGCAGAAATTTGTGGATATTTAAGGAATCTAAGGCAAAGATAGGTACAGACTTTGGTCAGTAACTGATAGAGAGCAGTGAGATTATCCTGTCAGTACTTTAGTACAGTTATTTTCAAACTTTAGTGTGCCTCTGTGTGTCACAGAGAAGAGATTTTTAAAATATAATTTGTCCCCCCAAAATGCTGATGTTTTTGACCTGGGGATCAAATGGTCAAAATCACTGGTGTAGTCAGCAAAGGAGATCTGAGAACTAGCTACCAGTGAAGTAATGATGATATTTTATTTCATATAGATTCCATAACATATATCATTTTATAACATGTAATATAGTAATTATACTGTGTCACTGTTTTATGTCATGTTATTGAGTTTTGTGTGATGTGAAAACTTTGTGTTTTATTCTGTTAAGTGGAAGTCATTGCTTTAAGAAATTTCTTAATAAGCACTGGGCAGAACCAGTCCAACTAAGAGAATTAATAAGTAGAGCAGAGGGATTCCTTAGATTGCTGTACTAATGGATGGAATCAAATAATATTCACTATTGCTTGAGAAAGTGGAAAATGTTCATATAGTTTTACTTGAAAAGAGAAAACATTGCAAGTTCTCATTTATTTTAACATGCTACAAAATATCTTAAAAGTAACTATGACCATCTCAATTTCTATGGAATCAAGAGGCCATTTTAGTATTCATTCCATGCAAGCAGATCTTACAGCCTTTCTAAACCTGCCAATAAAATATCTCCAATCCCCGTAGACATATTCACTTGTCATGTGTGGTATCTACTTCTATTTTCTCATCTGAAAAACAAGAAAGTTTAAAATTCTTCTTCACAAAAAACTACATTTAAAAATAGCCCAAATTTTCAAAATTAACTTTGGATATAGAGTACGGAAAATAGTTCAGTTGGAGAGCTTGGCTAGCATATACAGTGTTCTGGGTTCAAATCTCAGAGCTGCAAAGCAAAAGGAAAGAAAATGTCGTAAATAGGACTCTCTGAAGTAACCAGGTAACCAGGCATAGATGACTCTAAAAATATGCATTTTTCCCAGATTGTTTGGTATTTTAAAAGTCACTATTCAGTGTTTTTAAGAAGCACACAAACTGGCAACATTTAACAATGTTTTCAAATCACTGCTTTTCTTAATACTTTATTATTTTGTGTTTTGTAAAAATTTGTGAAGCAGGTACATGAAGGGGAACCCAAAACTGAAAATGGAGAACAAAACAAAACTTCAAATAATGGAGGAAGTCTGAGTAAGAAAATGAGAGCTATTTCCTGGACAATGAAGAAGAAAGTGGGGAAAAAGTACATCAAAGCCCTTTCTGAAGAAAAGGTAGGAGCACATTGTTAATCATGTGTGTTTTTCTTCTAATTTTTTTCTAAAAATATTCCATAGCGTTTTCTTCTGGATGTGGCTATAAGTTTTTGTTGTTTTATGAAGCAAACTTTAACCATATATTTCTTTCTCAGTCATCATGCCCAAAAATTGGACGGAAGAAAAATATTAGTACCAAAGTTATTCACTTTAATATTCTCCCTACACATCCAGGGTAGCCATCTGTTATCTCTCTCCTCCTCCTTCTCCATCTTCAAATTAATTGTCTTCTTTCATGGAAAAAGGAGAAAATACATATATTATCACTTTTTTTTAATTTGGGGATATAACTTCCCTGAGGCGTTAAGTCGCCCAGATTAGGCTCAAACTTGAACCTCCTACCTCAGCCTCCTAGACTGCTGGAATTACAGCATCCACAACCATGCCTAGTTTAATATCAGCATTTTAATAGAAGTGATTGAGAATCAGGAAGACCATGTATCTACCACATGAAGAACAATGTGCCATTTTTCTGTCAAATGCATCACTATTTCTTTGTATTGCAAATACTATTCTATTTTCTAGATAAACCACAATTTCCATGTCGTTTCAACATTAAATAGATGCTTGAGGTTGTTTCTATTTTTGAACTGCCAGGAATATGCTGCTGCAAACACTTCTGTTTGTTTTTTTGTGTGTGTGTGGAAATATGTTGTATTACTCTTGGGCATATGGTAACTATACTTTTAATATTTTCAAAAATTAACCATCTTCCAAAGCACCTGCATCATTTTCACATTACTCTAGCAAGGTATAAAGGATTCTCATTTGTCCACATCCCTGCTAATATTTATTATTGTCAGGGTTTTTTGTTTGCTTTTTAATGCTAACTATTTCATAGAAGTGAAGCGGAATCTCATTGTGATTTTTACATACATTTTTATGACTAAAGATCCTGAGAATATTTTCTTTTTTTTATATTAAAGAGAAAAGAACAAAAACAAAATAGCAAAAACAAAGACAAACAAAGCAACATAAAAATAATGAAAACGATACAGGATTTCAAAACAAGGTGATAGGAAATTAACACTGGTTGCGGCATTACATGTGAGAATGTTTTCAGGTGCTTGCCCATAACTATATCTTTTTGAAGAAGTGTTTAAATCTCTTATCCATTTTTTTTCTTATTCATTTTTAAATTGATTTAACTTTTTAGTGTTCAGGTTTAAATGTGATGTATTCTAAGTATATCTTTTATCAGATGTCTGACTTGTAATATAAAAACATTTTCCATCTTTATGTGAATTTTAATTTTACTTTCCTGTTACTACTCTTTGTAGCACAAATATTTATAATTTAGCTGTAATGAGTTTCTCTAAGTTTTTAACTTTTGTAACTTATACTTTGTGGCACACTGCCTAAGAAACCATTATTTATCATATGGTCATAAATGTTACACTTTGGTATATGATCCATCCTGAGTTAAGTTTTTTATGTTATATAACAGAAATCCAACTTCAGTCTTTTATACATGAATAGAAAATTGTCCCAGTTTCACTCATTGAAAAGACCATTCTTTCCCCATTGTATTGTCTCAGCACCCTTGCTTAAATTCAATTCACCATGTATGGTTATAAATCATAAATATATGGGCTTATTTATTGACCCTTGATTCTATTCTGCTGAATAATATTAGTATATCACCTATATATATTATGTATATGTCCTCTTTACTTATGTATTATATTTATAGATAATTAATCTATATTTATATTTGGTATCATCACTTAGATGTCCAACATATTGCTGAAACCTAATATACCGAAAATTGAAATAGTGACCCTCTACACTTCTACAAGCATACCATCAGTTTTTATTTAATATTGCCAGTGACAACAGATACCATTATCTTTACTCTAGACACAAGCAATGAGAAAGAGAAATTGAGATGGCCAGAGAGAGAGAAGAAAACCTAAGAATCATTACTACTATACAACTTTCTGGCATTTTTCACATTCGTTAATAAATGTATCATATTGATTCTAGTCTCTATGCAAATGGTTCCTATTGAACACTGCATAATTAACTACTGTTGACTGGATTACCATAGCTACTTCATTGCCTCCCCTTCTTCCATTCATTTGCCCATAAAACGCATTCTCCACATGAAAGCTAGAAGATATATGAAAGAGGGAAATCAGAACACATCATGTCCTTACTTAAAACTTCTCAATATCCTCAAAGTACTCTTACTATAGTACGTTCAATTGGGACATTGGAGCAGAACTTAAGAAGGGAAGAGAGACACTAAATATTTATTGGGTGAAATTTTTGCAAAGGGCAAAGGAAAGGAAGAAAAATATGGGCAGGAAAAGTGTTTTGACTGCAGTCTAAATCTGACCCCTGTAAAAGGATAAAAGGAAGGAAAGAGGTTCAGTTACAGAGAATTTCAGACTTCAACCCAGTTCTAAGAAAAATTTGGCAGATTGATGGCAAACTGTGAACCAAAGTTTTCCATTGGAAGAGCCTCACGTCCCATGGCATGAGCGCAGATAACACTCTGACTTTTTCAGTTATAGGGAAAGAATATTGCTTCAATAATAATACTGTGCTGGGTACAGAGTGGTGGGGGGGTAACTAGAACTGTCAATGTATTTGTCCATTTTCTTTGGCTAATAGTACAAAATCATAGACAGGCTAAGTTATGAAGAAAAGTGGTTTTATTTTGGCTCATAGTTTTGGCTCAAGATCAAAGGCTCACATCTGCTGATAACTTTCCTGGGGGCAGAGTGTCAAGATGGTTCAGGTTATCACACGATGAGAAAGAGTGAGTGTACACACATGTTTTCTTGCCTCCCTTATCTAGGAAAGCCGCCAGTATTCAGCTATGGAGGCTTCCCCCTGCTGGTTTTATCTAATCCTAATTGCCTTTCAGAACCCATCTCAAAACACTAAATTCCCCCCTCTCAATATCTCACAATGGGGATTAAACTCCAACATGATTTTTTGAGAAGACAAACCATATTCAAATTTGGCATTTCTTCTTGACCCCCAAGTTTCACGTCCTTCACACAATGTATAGTTCAGTCAATAATGCAGTTTCTCACAGCAAGAGAACTAAGTAGTACATTTCCATGGACACCACCCAGGGTCTACAAAGCTCTTAATGAACTGGCATTAATCTATTTCTCTGAATTCATATGTCAATATTGTCCTTTCCCTGTTTTCATTGGTCTGTACAATCCAAGGTATTTGGGAGTTCAGATATTTCGTTCTTATTGTTCTTTTTGCTTAGAAGTCTATTTCTAATGCTTCACTTAAGGCATATCTTCTTACATCTCAGGTCAATAACTCAAAACAAATATTACCTTACAGTAGAGATCTTTGGAGAGTAATCCTTCTAAATCAATCATCCTTCATTTTACCCTAGCCCTGGTACTTATTCTCTCAGATCACCCAGTTTTATTTCTGACATAGCATTTATAGTCCTCTGAAGTTTCCTTGGTTATTTTGTTACACACCTCTCCAAATACTGTAACCACACGTGCACATACAGCTATGCATGTAAATTGCCTTATACACTAGAATGCAACTCATTGCAGCAAGGGATAAGCTACCCCATTACACTGTTTACCACAAATTCCCAGTTCCTAGAGCAGCGCTAAATGCCTAAGAGATGTTCTATAAAGCTGAATTGAATGACTGAATGAATAAATAAAAGAATGGTTAGAATCAAAGCAAACGTACATCATATGCATATTCTTAAGTTTTATCAATGCTTAGAAATGCTCAAAATGAGCATATTGAATTCCATTCTGATGAATATTAAATTTGCAGTCTTTGTCCAAACTAAATATGGAAAACATTGGAGATGTTTTCAAGAAAATGTAATTTGTTTTGAAATTGTCTGTCTTTTCTAATTTTATGCAAGATTTGCTTTTCACTTGACTAGGTGGCAAGCACGGTATGAGATTTGTAAAGCTCCTTAGATAAGCTTTGCTTTAGAATTGCAAAGTGTGCATGTTTTATTCATACCTAGTGATCTGGTAGGGTGCAAAAAGCTGACATGAAACAACTGTGCAGAGTTTAAACCTGTAGTATCTGGTCTCAAAGGATTAGCAATGGCGATGAATAGATGAAAATGCGAACATGGAGAAGGAGAACATGAAGAGAGAAAAGTGCTTCAGCAGATAAAGCACAGATTTCAATAAATCTAACCTTTCTGATTAAATAGCCTTGATAGGATATTCATCCTAATTTGCAGAAATAAGCCTTCATAAATGCAGTCAAATTCCACAATAAGAAATGTCTCATCTAAGGAATTTTTCCAAGTATACTTTAAAATGTTTCACTAGAAATTGAAATAAAGATTAATGACACTCATATTTTATGCTGATGTATTCCTAAGTATTTTATTGCTAAAATATGTCTTGTTTGTTAAATCAATGCATGCAGTGAACATCTCCATGGAAATGTGCTCTCCACACTTAACCTCTGATACATTTTTCTAAAGGATGGAGAAGATGGAGAGGATGCTCTGCCATGTCGGAACAGTGACCCCATGATTGGGACCCACACGGAGAAGGTCTCGCTCAAAGCCAGTGACTCCATGGATAGTCTCTACAGCGGGCAAAGCTCATCAAGTAAGGCTAATGAAGAAAGGGCACCATCCTAGCTGTGAGGTCTGGGTTAAAGTAATTATAAAACAACAAATCTTCCCCTCTGGGGCTTGTATATAAAATTAGTAACAAGGTTCCAGTTGTTTGATAAAAAATAGCGAAGTGCATTGAATCTACATGGCATTACTATCATCCAAAGCAACATATAATATATTTGAATTATATATGGTTCAATACTTTTTAGTGCTATACTCAGCAGAGTTCTTGGGGATGTGCTCCCAGATAGTTGTGCTGGATAATTAAATCTGTTACTTGAGTTCAAAAGGACCAGATGTTTCAAATGACTTTTACTGCTGTTTTCCTATTGGACGCAGAAGAGTTAATGTGAAAATAATCTAATGCAGAGACATTTGAAGGATTATTTTTATGTGTATCAAATTCAGATTTGATAAGTATTCATTTCTGGTGAACGTTTGAAAATTCTAAGTAGTGATTCTTATCATGGGCAAAATCTTGTTAGCTAGAATTGAACTGGGTTCATCACTCAAAGAAGGGCATTAGGTGATAGTTCCCTGCTTAACATATTATCTTATACGCTTAATTTCTGTGGTTAGATGCAATAATTTTTCTTTTATCCAAGTTCATATAAAAATGAGGAGCTTCTCAAACATCTTTACATTACTTCTGTAATGATTGATGGTGTAGCTTGGGCTGCTCCTTCCTTGATCAGAACACTAAAAATCCAGCTTGTGAGGGCAATGAGGAGAGAGTGAAGATTAGTATGGGAAAAAAAAGAGAGGCATTTCCCCTGGGACCTATCCTTGCCTGCCCTGGGGCAAGTAGCAATAGAAAGTCACTCTTTTCTTTCTGAGCATCAAGATTAGAAAGAAAATCAGGAAACAAGGATTTGGAGCAGTACTTTATTTTGATGGGACACTATTTTAAAAGTCCACAATTTCAAACTACTTGGGGGGTTCAGATATCCCAACACACTTCCACCTTCCTTCACACTCACAAGACAAGCAAATGTATCATTTCTTATACACAGTAATTTTGCCTCAAAATGGCCATTCTAAGGAACACTGAGGGGAGGGAATGAATTTTTGCTACAATTGCAGTCGTTTGTAGGGAACTTTGTAATGTTATGCTTTAACCATTTGTGATCAATACTGCTCACCCAAAGACCAAACTCTTGCTATCGATTTCTGTCTTATCATACATTTATGAAATTATGTACTGTAGCTTGGTAACACTTAAACCTCTATCGTGCTCCTCTTCAGCAGGTGTCTATTATTAATGTACTGTGTGCTGGATCAGAACATAGAGACCAAAATGAAAGAGTGTTTTATTTAGAGAGTAAAGAGACAGTGGTCAGATTGGTAAAAAAAAAACTGAAGTTGTCAGAGGACAGAGCTCAAAAAGAATATGACTGGGTGGTAAAACAAGACTGCAATCCATTGCTTCAGCGTCTGCACCATGGTTCAGAAGGTGAAAAGACTTTGATGGGGACTGTTAACCTCTGCTTTCTTAAGGTGGCATAACAAGTTGTTCAGATGGCACAAGTAACAGGGACAGTTTTCGACTGGACTATGATGGCCCATATGCAGGATCGTTCTGTGGCCGGGCCAGAGTACACACAGATTTCACGCCAAGTCCCTATGACACCGACTCCCTCAAAATTAAGGTGAGCCAATATTACATCTGCTTTCTGGACAGTTTGTCAAATGCTGGTTTGTGATCCATTTCAGGAAGTAAAAAAATGGGAAAGAAGTTTGTGTGTTCTTTCTCATAGTTAAAGTGGTGAATTATAGTAACAGTGGCAGGATTTTTAATAAAACATAGGTAGGATACCAGAGATCATTTTCCTTAGGCTATCAGCAGAAGTTGCTATTAGGTACCTCATACAATTTAAGAGTTTATTGAAGAAAGGTAATTACAAATTTTTTTCTGAAAATTGAAAGTCTCACAGGTTGCTGTAGGTACCTAGTTCTAATTGACAGTTGCTGGAAAAAAATATAATGGTGCGAAAGAGAAGAAAAAATATGGAAATATCAGGCAATGACAGCAAAGCAAAGATCTGAGAACCATAGGTACTTGGGCAACTCTAGTTCTTTTCAAGTTGGTTGCCCTGATTAACCACAGGTCTTTCTCCCAGTGATATCCCCTTTTGGATGAATTCTTCTTAGCTTTATCTGCTATATTCATTTTGTATTGTTATATAACAAATTGCCCCAAACTCATGGGCATCAAAGATCACAAATGCATTATCATATCAGTTTCCATGGAACATAAATCTGGGTGTGGCTCAGCCAAGTTCTTTGCTTAAGGACTCAGTTGGCTGAAATTCAGTTGTCAGCTAGTCTGTGATCTCACCTGCAATTCAGAATCCTTCAAGATCACTTGACTGTTGGCAGAATACAGTTCACTGTAGTTATACAAATCAAGCTCTGGGCTTCTTGCTGGATATAAACTGGAGGCCATTCTGAGCCCTTTAGATTCCAGTAGCCACGGTGTTGTCTAATAACATAGCAGTCTGTTTTTTCAAAACTATCAAGAAAAAAGCTTACACACATGCCCGTGTCTTTGTTGAAAGGGATCTCACATGATTAAGTTAGATGCACCCACATAATCTCCCTTTTAATTAACACAAAATCAATTAATTTGATGCATCATCTGCATGATTTCCTCTGACATATGTAGTAACCTAATCATGAGTTTGAAATCCACCATTTTGGTAGCCCTTACATTGTCTCTGTAAAGAGATAATGCTGATTACAATAGCACAAATAGAAGAAGTGTTCATGCTAACATATTTTTATAGATGTTAAATCATGCCTTTTAGTATCACAAAACACTGTAAGTAAAAGAACATAAATGATGAATTTTGTATACCACTAACACTAATCCAATGCTAAGGAATGATTGTGATGTGAAGTATTGATGTTGTTTCATACTCAAGGCACTCAGTTTTCTTAGTTCCTTCTATGTTATTAAATCAGGGTAAACTTGGGAGAGAAAACAACATTGCTAACTCTTTAGTATCTGAAATGACTTGAAGTTTAAGTTCAAGTCTTGGAGATGCTTATATTCTAGCACCCATGTTGAAGGAAAAACAGTAAAAGGGAACAATGTAGTTTGACTCCGGATTGTTTTTAAACTTCCTTATCATATAATGTCAGTGTCCCAGTTCTGGTGCTCCCTTGGCTGACTTTTGTGCAGCTGTTACAGGGAATACCAAGGATCCCATAGTTACCACTGAAAATTGAAATATCATTGTTTCTAGCAACGGTTTTATCCAAAGTGAAGTTGTGTCTTGGTGTGGGTGATCTGTGAGTTTTCAGGAACGTGCAAGTTTACAAGTTAAAGGATGTAAGTTACAAGTTTACAAGTTTTGAAGATACTAGAAAGGATCCTGAAGAGGACAAGCAAACCTAATAACTTTCTGGATCTTTTAGGGGATTTCTTTGTCAGCCTACCGGATAGCATCTACCCTACGATTTAATTTCCTGTAGTTAAAAGGCAGGAAAACCAAGACTAAGAGATGAGAGGTGTAGACAGGCAGGTGGTCATAAATCAGAAATATCATTTCATTCGATCACTTTAAATTGTAAAATTACAAATAAAGTTTGTGTTTTCTACAAATTATACATTCAAAAGTCAGCAGGAAAATATATATTTTATTAGCACATTTCATGCAGTGTCAATAAAGTGTGACAAAAATATTAGAATCTGTAGAATCCCCTCCAGGGCAGAGATGTCCAAGGCTCAAGGCGTAACTAGCATACTCTTAAATATGGAAAATTATTTGCATAGAATTCAGTTTTCTTTACCAAGAAACATTCCTAGGGGAATTTTTACTTGTGCTAATAATTTCTAGCATGTAGCCAAATATAGTCTGAGATAGAAATAAACAAAATACTGCTGCACTTGAATCATTTTAATGTGCTTCATTCATACTTAAGTGCAAACTTTTTGTGGAGCTCTATCTAAATATTACCTATTTTTGATAAGAAAAGGTATTAAGAGCTAAGTAGGATGACCTAGTGTATACATATTTTTATATATATTTGGTGAGTTCTGCATAATTTTAGTTGTTTGTATACATGAAATACTTTAGGTAGATGTATAGTATAGTACAAATGAATTCTATTAGATGAACTTGAATCACAGACAGAGCCACAGACTGCTTTTTCTTGCTGTTCCCTAGCAGAAAAGCCCTTCTAAAATAATGAGAATATTATTTTCATAATATGAATGAAAGGAACATGATTTTTAATTTCAGACAACTTGAGCTTGAGTTGCCATTAACTTACAGCAAACTCTTGAGAAGTCATTCATTATCTCTGCTTGTTTTTCTGCAATATTGAGAATGAGAAAGTCATACTTCATGCCTGTCTTTAAGAGGTAGGTTGTGAATATAAAATGACTTATTGTATTCAAAATTTTGTGTAAATTATACTGTGCTCCACAAGTATGTGACAATGATATAACAAAGACAGAAAAGTGACACTGTATCTATGTAAGCTTTTCTTCAAGCATTTAGAAGTTTTCTTTATTATTATAGGAAAATAATTTCCTTAACAAGTGAACTCAGATTTTTTTTTATCTTTTTGAGACAAGGTTTTGCTATGAAGTTCAGGCTGGTCTTGAATTCACTTTGTAGCCTAGGCTGGCCTCAAAGTTGCAGTGGTCTTCCTGCTTCAGCCTCCTGAGTACTGGAATTCCAGGCATGCTCCACCACATCCGGGTCTCAGATCTATTATTGATATCTTTGAACGTGTTTAGTATAATGTACTCATTACTCTAATTCTCATTCTTTCTACCAATCTTCATAGGACCATACTCCTTTGAAATCTAATTTGTATTTGTGTATGTCTTTGCCCTTAGAAAGGAGACATCATAGACATTATCTGCAAAACACCAATGGGGATTTGGACGGGAATGTTGAACAATAAAGTGGGAAACTTCAAGTTTATTTATGTGGATGTCATCTCAGAAGAGGAAGCAGCCCCTAAGAAAATAAAAGCACACCGAGGGGGTAAAAGACAAAAACCAAAGAGTCTTCAGGAGTTCTTAGAACAGATTCACCTTCAGGTTAGCCACCCTTTGTCCTGTGTGTAGTAACATGTGGATGGAATGATTGATGAGAACAGATCGGTGTTTGCACAGTGTTGCTTAAAAATATAAGACTTATAGCAAAGGAAAATCTGTTTTCCTAGAACAGCTCTTATTTCTGTTTTATTACTTTTATTATGCAAGGTCAGGTCTTGATATAATATCTCTTGGACTACACCCCAATGGTATTTTGCAGTGACAGTAGAGATTAATATTGAGAAAGTGCAATGAAAAATGAAAGATATTTAGGAGAATAACAGAATGTGGAAAATGTCTAAGGGAGAAAGGGAATATAAAGAGGAAAAGTTAGAGTCCAAAGAAGTGAAAGGAAAAATGAAAATTGCATTTTCTATACAGCAGAAACCAAAATCAAGTCCAGAGAAGATAACTGAATAGAATCATTTAAACAGTGGTGATTAACCCTCATAATAATTGTGTTCAGAACTCTGTCATCTGTTTTTATAATCTATTTGTTCATATTACATAAGTAAAAGTTTTATGAAATATCTACCTTCATAAAATGTGTGCACATCCTTTATACCTATTCTTACTCAATTTACATTTTGTAATCCATATCTAAAATTAGCTTAGACACATTTTGATAAATTTCAGAATTTGTAAAGGCAATAGCCAATTAAAGTTTTCCTTATTGATTTTTTCTGAACTATCTATTTAACCTTCTGGTTAACTAGTTAAGCATCTCAAAGTTATTATTGGTGTATCCCAGAGGAAATATAATTTTGAATCCTGCCTTGCTACTTGTTCTGTGATTTATAAAAAAAGTCAGCATCTGAGGGAGTATGTGACTTATTCAAGAACCCAAAGTCAGATGGATTTTTCAGAACAGAAATTTTGGTGTTCTGTGTTCTAATTATAATTTAGAGATTTTATAGAGTATACTACTTTTTCAAAAGATCTGTTCCTCCCTTTTGTTGTTAAAATACGGCTGGTAATGAAGTCTTCCTGATTACTTAAAACTTCTAGACTTCCTCTGACTCAGTTTTAGTGACTAAAATAAAGATATTGAAATTATGATCAAGTGAAATGGGAAGATTTTTGAGGAAGTTGAAAAGAATTTAACTTTAGTTTGAATTTTTATTTTGTCAGAGAGAAAAGAGGTTGTATAAATAACATACAGATAGGCTAAAATCAAAGTCTATGAATTTGGAATTAATGTATATATTAATGAAAGTGATGCACAAAACATACATGCCGAAAAAAGGAAATAATGTTTTTACAAGTCATGTTTTTATAAAGTTTTTAATTAAGTAGTCTGTGATAGTTTTACCTAGTCCCTCTCAATTAAAATGCCAAACCCACTTTGTGTATAGACTTGTGTCTGTTTTAAATTCGTTTTTAACCAACTCCAAGAAGTTAGTGGAAGTTTATATTTTTGTGATTAAGAAACAGGAAGATATGTAATTCAGAAATAGTAGTATAATTTACTCTGCTATACACATTTCATTGATAGACTTAAAGAAATTCTAGTTCTGTCTGTTTAGGTAGTTGAGAAGTGCAAAAGTGCCAAGTGGAATGTATGATACAGCTATTAAATTAATTCATGATTTAACATTGCACAGATTAAGATAATTATGTCTTCTTATGTCTCATCTTCCAGAAAGTGAGAATTATACAACATACTCTTTTATATGCCCTAGAGTTCATGTGTAGAAAGCTAGTACAAGTCAAATAGAGTTAAACAAAAGTTATATTGACATCTCTGGGTTCTATATGCATTTCTATACTTTGTTTAAATATAAAGAGAACTAAAAATAAAATATTTGAATCTTACTAATTTACATTGCATTAACATACTTTTTCTACCCCCATAGGAATATACCTCAACACTTTTGCTTAATGGATATGAGACTCTAGAAGATTTAAAGGATGTAAAAGAGAGTCATCTCATTGAATTAAACATTGCAAACCCAGAAGACAGAATGAGGTTACTATCAGCTGCTGAAAGCCTCCTTGATGAAGAAAGTAAGTGTGCATATCTACTCCGTAGCTGATAATCATGGTGTAAAGTAAATAATGAAATCATCAGATGCAAAGCTCTTGTTTTATTTACTGACAATCACGTAGAGCATTATTTCCATGAAGTAAGAATTTTCACATAACATTGGAAGCAATAACTCTGATCGAATCTGTAATTGTGGAGAGAGATTTCTTCCCTATTGGACTCAAAAATGAAAGGAGCTTTCTGCGTCCCTCATTCTGATTTTGCAGAACTCTTCATTTATATGCAAGTGGATGCCTGCATTACCAACGACTGAGGGAGACAGAGACAAATATGTAGTGACAGCGTGAACCATTAGTGAGAAATGTCACACATGGCTTCTGTAGAACACAGAGCATGTCACTAACCTAATGAGACTTTGCGCCACCCAGGAAAATTCATTGCATTACCACATAGTCCCATCTTGTATGTGTTTATTGTACTCTTCCAAAATGTTATAATAGCTTGCAAAAATATTCAGCATTCACTTTTATTATCTCAGATTATTTTCTGCATTTGAAGTATAAACTGGAGACAGAAACATACCTACAAATTCATCAATGGCAGAATGCTAGCTATGCCAACTAGGATTGTAGAGATAGAATAGCTTTTACTTTTATAACTACTCATTGAGGACTCACTACTAAATGTTGTCAAGCCCCCAAACCCTGAGCTTGGAATGTTCCAATTTATGCAGAGCATTTTGTGAAGGAAAATGGGATGGAGGATGTGGAGGGTCTAAATTTAAAGATGAGAAAGAAGTTAGATCATTAAATCCACACCCCTCTCAAAACTAATGTTAGCAGTACTTATTAACTAGTTAATTTATTGGAATGTGTGCTCTGAGTAAAACTTCAGGCAAAGTCTTTATGTTTATTTTTCTTAGTGCTCTTCAACCCAGTCTGTAAGTTAGATAGTACTACCTCCACTATTAGAATGAGAAATTGAGATAAATAATTTATATAAGCTCAAACTCCTAATGAATTATGGAGTTAAGATTCCAACCCAGTGTTTTAAAAAGCTGTGCCATACTTCCTAAGACTACAAGTAACAGCCCAGATGGAGAATGAAGAGGAAAGTTGTACTGAATATCTAGACCTCCTGACTTCCTTTGTGGGCTACCCTTTACCCTCTCATAAATTCTACAAAATTTAGGCAGAGCACTTGTTTAGTATATACTTGCTTTTTGTACAGTAGAAATTTGTTTACTTTTTAAGAGACTGTTCCTTGCTTTATTCATGCTTGGGTGATTGTGTTTCCATAGATTTTCACCAGGAATTGTACATGTACATCTATGACTAACTGAACATAAGCAGAAATAATTAGACTTAGGTTTTTATGTTCTTGCTTTGAAGTTTTGGTGATTGGGTGATGACTATAAGGAGATAACAGAGTCAGAAAGGTAGAGAAAACCTAACCTTCCTAAGGTTACCTAAAGTAGCTGATTATCTCAATAGTATTAGCCACCCAAAAATTGATCTTTGTAGGTTGGTGTGGCAATATCTTCAAGGTAAAGAAGGGAGTTTCTCTTACATCTTGTCAGTTCAAGACATCACACCTCACTAAACACTAGGCCACAAAGATGATTCTGTAGATTGCTTTTATTGATCATGTTCAGTGCCTCTGCCAATACTCTCCAATATAATTTGACCATGCAGTAAAAGGAGAAAGAAGAATATTTTTTAAACACTTGCAAAAAATTGCTTTTCTTCTGCAATAGCATACATTTAGGTATTTTGTCCCATTTACACATGAGGGAATAATTCAGAGATGAACTGCAAAGAAGTTAATTAGCTAAATAAACTGGACAGGCAGGATTTTAATCAAAAGCAGACTGCTATAAAACTCAAAGTTCTGTCTTCCACATGAGCAAAATGGTAAATACGAGAACAGTGAATATCTGGAGATTGAAATCTTCTGCTACTTCAGTTTCCTCAAGGGCTTCAGTTCAATGCTACATCTCTGAAAGTGGAAGTTAATGTTTAAGTGAGAACAAAGCCCTGGTAACAGCAGAACTCCCTGAAAGGTGAGAGACTGTCCTCGCTGCCTCTCAATAGCCTTTGCCAAGAGAGGAGGCTGGGAGCCAGCAAGTTGCCCTTTCAGTGGTGAAGAGTGCTCAGTAGGGACCCCCAAAAGAAGATGGGTGTGGGGCCAGAAGGTTATATTTACCTCACTTCTGTATTCTTATCTCCTGCATCACTTGTTTATTTTCTGTATTAACTAAAAAATAATGATTTATATGTGATACCAAAATGAAGCGTGGTGTAATTAAAAAAAAAAAAACCCTAACTCAAATTCTTCTTTGTAAAATGGGAAAATCAGAGTCCAAATAGCTATGTGGGTTAAGCTCCTCATGTATCTGTAACTTAGTCTCCTAAGCCTATCTGAAATATGTTCCAATATATCCTGGTCTCTGAAAACAAAACATAATATTTTCTAAGCATGAAGTAACTTTTCAGTGTTTGCTATTTTAAAAAGGACAAGTCCCAGGAATTATTTCCCTATATAAAACTTTAAAAAACCATCCATGAAGATCAGGAGGAGCTAATACTTAATAACAATAGCCAGTCATGTATAAACATGCACACACACAGCCAAACTGTACTTCATGAAAGACAGAAAAGTGCAGATTCAACCAGTGATACTTGGCAATGCACAATCCTGAGATTTTTCCTATTTTAAACATATGATTTAGTAGTATTAAAATTCACTCGTCAGAAAGATGCATATTGGATGTTAGGCTATTTGACTGAAAGCTATTTATCTTATATGAAACTGCTTTGCTCAAGAAATAAAGAAGAATGACTTCCATTTGTTGATAAGATAGTGAATTCTGATGATTTTACAACCTGCTGCCGCATGCTTATTTTTATCTATCCTAAACTCCGTGAATCACATCTTCTACAGCAGTGCTAAAGATTAAACACACAGCATTCATGTACCTTGAATGATAAATACCTTGAAAATATGGTTATACAAAGCATAGACATTTAAAAAAAAAACAAATACACCTCACAGTCACAGGTTAAAAATAGCTTTTATTTAAAAAAGAATAGGATATGCAATGGGCAGGATTTTATGTATAAATTTTTATTTCGATCATTGAGTAATACTAATTTGGAGAATTTCAATAAATTCTTAGTTTAACTTTTTTTTTTTTTTTGAGTTAGGAACTTAGAAAATCTTTGCTTTGCTAATCAATCAATATGAAAGTTGTGCAAACTGGAGATGTGTCCTGAGGACTAGAGTGGAAATTTGGAGATAATGCAGGAAAGACCAAGTCTTGTGTGCATCTTTAACACATCTCAAGAAACTAAGAGGATAGAAGATGGGATAGGGAACAAAAACAGAGATACAACAAGCTGTTTCTCTATTTTCTTAGCCTGAGATAGATAGCATTGTTCCCACTTTGACCTTGAACGTGTAAGCCGGATTAAACTTTCTAGGTCACCGCATGGCAGGAGGTCAAGATGCTTCTCCAACAAACTGATAAAAAGGCTAGGGAGTGGTGTTAGAGCTGACCGCAGGACTACTGCTGAAGGTATGTAATGCCTTTGGGATTCTGCAGTCCCAGCAAGGCAAGGAGCGAGATGCAGAATTTGCTCTCGCATTGCTCCTAGAACTGAGCAGAATTAGGACACTGGCTCCCTCAATTAGGAACCTAGATAAGGTTAGAGAGAAGAAAAATTGGGTGAGATCCAGCTTTGAAGAAGAAAAAAAGGAGCCAAATCTATTTATTTTGTGCATATTAGGTTTTCTATATTTATCATCTGACTTTAAAATCATTTGTTTACTTTGTGAGTAAATATTTCCAGCAAATAAAAATGTGAATAAAAAATGTGTGTACACTTGCCTGTGTGTTTGCATAAACCCAAACTTCAAAGTTCCTTTGCCTGACTGAAAAGTGCTTCCTTAGGATAATAAGATGGTTAACTGTCGTTTATAGTACACGTTCTCCATGTATTGTGCAGTTGTCTCTTTCCACATTTAGAAGCATTTTCATGTGCCTTAAAATTGTGCCAACCAGAATGTGTACCATTGCCTTTGGGGGAAATGGGCAATGGAAATAATTTTCCTAAGTACAGAGAAAATTACATTTTAAACTGAAAAGAATAGTAACGAAATAAGTAAACGTTATAGAAATCTGTTACAGTGTATTTCAGGTACCTGCAAACTCTGATCGCAGCGTCAAATGAGGATGAAGGGGAGAGGGCTGGCTGTGAGCCAGGCCATTGGCAGGAGCTGTAGGCACAGCAGCCCCGCATTGCTCAGCCACCCCCAGTTGTGCTTTCCTGCCTGTCTGCCGGCCCAAATCGAAGCAAGGCAAGCGGTGGGACCCAGTCAGGTGCTGGAAGATGAGCCATCAGCAAGGGAGACTTGCAGATCTGCCAGACAGCATCCTCCCGTTGACCTAATGGTGTGCCAGGCTAGCCTGGTGCCACAGCCTGACACATGTAGCTGGGGTTTCCACTGCACTTGCCGTATGATTTGAATTTAAATTCAAGAAATGTATAGCTTTTAAGAAAAAAAAGAAGATAGGCATCCACATATATAGAGAGAAGGCAGATGTTTTACTTGTATGTATTTATACATATGAGTTTAATATCTATTTCTAGTTATAGCTGTTTGGTTTTATTATTTATTTATTTATTATTTTTTTTGCTGTACTGGGGATCGAACTCAGGACCTTGAGCTTGCCAGGCAGACGCTTGTGCCACTGAGCTATATCCCCTGCCCCGCTGTTTGGTTTTATTTAATTTCTCAGATTTATTTTTGGCTTTCTTCTCTAAGATTCTATTTATAACAGATACCATGTTCTAGATAATAAAAATAGAGTGAAATGAAGCAAATTTAATCTTTAACTGAAAACACTTTCTAGAGAAAAGTGTTCACAATGTTTTACTTCAGCACCTAAGGACTTTTGTAGAGCTATATCTAGAAAACACTCCCATCCTTGTTTGTACATTGCACTATGATGGTGTCC